TTTTAGTTAGTATCTTATAATTTTAGTTTTTACATTTTGAATTGATTTTTATACAGTGTGAGGTATGGATTGAAGAAATTTTTGTTCATATGGAAACCGGTTGTTTCAGCACAATTTATGGAAAACACTATCCTTTCCTCACTGAATAGCTTTTGTATGTCTTCAAAATCAGTTGTCCGTATATGTGTAGGGATATTTCCAGATTTTTTATTTTGTTCCATTGTCTGTCTTTATGCTAATACCACACAGTGTTAATTATTATAACTTCATAATACATTTTGAAATACATTATTAATTTTCTAATTTTTTTCTTTGTCAAAGCTTTTTTGATTATTCTATATCTTTTGCACTTCCAAGGGATTTTAGAAAAAAACTTCACAATTTCAAAAAAAAAAGTGGCCTGTTGAGGTTTTGATTGACATATTGCATTGAATCTATATTGTTTTGGGGAGACTTGACACCTTAACAAATCATACTGAGTGTCCCAAATCACAAATATGCATATCACTTCATTTATTTAGATCCTTAATTTCTCTTAGCAATATATTCTAGTATTTATAGTAGAGGTCTTTGGATATCCTTTGTCAGATTTATCACTATTTCATAATTTTGATTCTATTTTAAATAACTTTTTTTCAATTTTTGATAGTTTGCTGCTTTGATTTTTATATCTTATCCTTGTATCCTGAAAACTTGTTAAGATCACTTGTTTGTATTGGCAGATTTTTAAATAGAGTCTATTGCATTTTCTAGACAATCATGAAATCTGGAATGACAGTCTTACTTTCTCCTTTATAAGCCAGGTGGCCTTCATTTATTCTTACCTTATTGCATACACTAGGACCTCCACTATAATGTAAACATTCAGTACTTCTGTAACATCCTTCCATGTTGACAATAACTACACTGATTGGGGTGAGAATTTAATAACTGTGAATCACTATGTTGTATACTTGAAACCAATATAATATTATATATAAGCTATAGCTCACTAATTTTTTTAAATGTTGAGTAGAAGTGGGAAAGCCACCATCCTTACCTTTCCCTGATCTTAAAGGGGAACCATGTGTCTTTTAACATTAACATAATATAGGCTTTTCTTTATGTCTTTTATTCAGTTGAAGAAGTTCCCTGTTATAATCTGATGATAGTTTTCTTGTCTTTCCTACTTTTTGATTTTTAATCAGGGGTAGAATTTGGGTTTTGTCAAATACTTTTTTTGCGCCTATTCAGATTATTGATTTTCTCTTTTTTGGTTTGTTAACATGATGAAATACACTGATTGGGTTTTGAATAATAAATCAGCCTTGCATTTCTGGGATGCACCTTACTTAGTCATGATGTATTTTCATTTTACATATTAAGAAGATTGATTTGCTAAAGCTTTATTTAGAATGTTTACATCTATGTTCATGGGGGCTAATGGTTTGTAGTTTTCTATTGTAATGTCTGCCAAGTTTTGCTATTTGAGTAACACTGACTTCATAGAGTGAGTTGGGAGGTTATCTCTTCCACAGGTTTCTTGAAGTTTGCTATTGTATGTACATTATCTCCTATAAGAGACTAAAGCCTATAAAAGAAGGGTAAGATGATTAGATGAGACAACCATCTCAGAATTGTGGAGGAGGAGGAGGATCACATTGAATGTTAGCTTCTCTTCCCTCTCCTGACAATACCATCAGGTATTAGGACTTCATCTTGTGGAGGGATGAACCTGAATAGGGAGGTAGTAGTGGTGTAGTAATTAGTAGCATAGCCACTGGTCTCAGAATGCTGGCATCAATTTTCAACTATTTTACTTACCAATCGCTATAAATATTAGAAGTCACTTATTTTATGCCAAGGTTTTTTTATCCTGAGACTGCATGAGATTCTTTAATCCTTTGAAACTATTTTTGGACTTATCGTGTATAGGAGACTGGATACATCTTTTCTCGGAAGCCTTTAGTTCTCTTCAAATTTTCAATTTCTGTTTGTACATACAGTACTTTCAAAGATCAAGTCATACTGCTACAAATAAATTTGCAAAAATGTATTCCTTTGGGTTGCCTTAAACTCCTTTAAGGTCAGCCAGAATCTGAATATTTTGCAATCTCTTAATATTCATGTTTTACTGTTTTTCACTTACCCTTGAACCTACATAGACCACAGCTACAACACAACAATAACTTCACAATTATTATAATCACCTTTTCATAATTGAGGTTAAGTGATTTGCTTCTCCAAATATGAGAGACAAGAAAACCTCAGACATAAATTTATTTTAAAAAATGTCACATTTTATTGTCAGTAATAACTATGTATCTCTCATAGGAATGTGTTTTTTTGAGGGTAAAAGCATCATGCCTCATTCATTTTTGTAGTCTCAGCCTCTGAAAAGTGCAAAGCACATAATACATGCACAATGTATGTTGTATAATGATTGAGCTGGATAATAATCTCAGGTCTTCTGATTATAAGTCCTCAACATATTATCATTTCATTAAGCCACACCGTGTAATATCAAAATTCAGGAAATTAAGCTAAACAGGGAGTCACATTCCTTTGCTAATTATACTGTTCCAGCATTTTTTCTTACTCAATATCTTCCCCATCTAGGGTACTAACTATTAAACAAAACTTATGTTCATATCATGAAAAGAAAAGTAAAACATGAATCAAGAGTCAATAGAAAGCAAAATATATATTTTGCTTTTCTTAAAAGCATATGGAAAATAAAGACAATGATGTGTTTTAAAACATCTGAAAATGTAATTTATTAGTACAGTACTTCACTCCAAGACCCCCAGTGGATGCCAAAAAATCACAGATAGTACTGAACCCTGGATATACTATGTTTTTCCTATATATACATACCTCTGATAAAGTTTAATTTATAAATTAGGCACAGTAAGAAAGTGACAATAACATCTAATAATAAGATAGAATAATTACACTCTAATATACTCTAATAAAGTTATGTGAATGTGGTCTCTCCCTCTCTCAGTATCATTCAAGATATCTTATTGTACTGTAACTCACCTTCTAGTGATGGTGTGAGATAATAAAATGTCTATCTAATGAGAGGAGGTGAGGAGAATGACATAGGTATTGTGATGTGACAGTAGGGCACTATTGACCTTCTGACGATCTGATGATATATTAGAAGGAGGATCACCTGCTTCCAGACGCGGTTGACTATGGAAAGTGGGAATCATTCTACTTTATTTCTTAATAATCTCAGAGAAAACTTCCTGTGTCATTTTCTAGGGCTCTGATCATTCTTACGGCCACTAGTTGCATTTACTCTGTACCCCTGGTATCTGCATCACTTATCATATTCCCAAATCTCCCTTTTTGTCACATTAATACCACATTAATACCTCTTTTGCATTTCCTGGTCACCTTCTCCTGGTTTATCATATTATTACTCTTCTAAATTCCTCCTTAACACACTTGCAACCAGTTAGACGCAAAGCATGCATCCTATTTGGGAGCTATGTGATGAAGGTAAGGGAAGCCCACTGGCAGAGAATCAAGCTCCACAAGTGAGGAAAAAAGAGGTGAATAAGAATTTTAGGAAAGAAGGAAAAAAGGTGGGCAATAGGATCACAAATAATAGAAATACGCTATGTTGATTTTTTTCATGTAACCTCAATGCAACATCAAGGAATACTGGTTAATGAATGTGTAAATACTCCCATCATTACATCTAAGAATAAGGGCAAATTGTTTTTAAGCTTTTGAATATACTGACTTCTTTCCTTCTTCCTCCCTTCCTTCCTTTCTTCTTTTTTTCAACTGTTATATCTTATTTTCTGCACTTTGATAACTCCATCAAATACAAAGGTTGGATCCCAAGACGTTCTCAAAGATTGTGCAAAGATGTATTACATGCCTGATGGCAACAAGACATTACTGAGTATGGTCCTGAGTCTTGTGGGGCAAATGCCATCAGACTATAAGTATATAAGCAAATACAGTAAGAATAAAATTCTATTAACTAATGATGTTTTCATATATTTGACTATAAAGGTTTATAGGCAAAAATTGTATAACAAAGCCATTCTAGTACTTCTAAAATAATTGAGATCCACAAAATTCCACATTATATAAATTCAGAGGTTTTCTCAAATTTTGACATTTTCTTACATCAGATATTTATGGTTGTTAGTAAAAAACAAATTTTACTTTCTAAATGAGGAATTAAAAGGCATAAATATATCTAAGCTCTAATAATTTCATTGTACAAATAATTTTGATAAAACAATAGAGTGTTTCAAATAGTTCATGTTAAATTCTAGGAAGGCAAATCAATAGTATTAATAACTTAATTCATTTAAAACTGATAATATATGTGGTCTGAAGAAAAAACAGCATGATAGCACTTATCATTTGTTAGCATGAAGGCACATTTATATGTCCACATCTTAAATTTCTGAACATAACAAAATATTAAAATTATTCATATGCCTCCTAACATATCTTTGAGGGATTAATCCTTAATTTTCACATTTAACAAATGAATTTGCATTATTAAAGCTGATTTATCAAACATAATAGTCATTGCAATGTTAAAATAGTCATGCTACTTGAAGAATTGTCCAGAATGCTTTTGACCACAGGTTACTCTTATATTTGAGAATAACCTTAGGCAGCACTTGTAGATTCAGATAACATACACACTTCAAATTTTCAGTTCAAAAAACATAAAGTGAATTTATAGGGTAATGCTTTATTTAAAAAATAAATCCCTTCTTTGTTTCAAAAACTAAAACCTCTAATGTCTTTAACTATGAATGAAACAATTTTAAAAAACTTAAAAAATAGCTATAATTTCCCATAACTATTGCATGCAAAAAGACTAGCAAAGCTTCTAACTAAGTATTAAAATGACCAATGGATCAGTAAATGCATCACTTCACACACAAAAAAAATTGACAGTTAATTAGTGGGTCTATATGTGCATGCTACAGCACGGTGTGGTCAGAGTAAAAAAAAATAGAGTAAAATGCGATTACCCTAAAAGACATTTCAAGATTCTCTCCACCCCAGATATCCATTCCTGCATCGTAAGTTCCTATCTCTTCAAAGTAGTTTCTGTCAATAGAAAATAGGCCACCAGCCATAGTAGGGGTCCTAGTTGAAAAAAAACAAAAAGAAAAGAATATCTTTTGAAAACAATGTGTGGCGTTTAGTGAGACTACAGCAAATATTTTTGAGACATTTTAAATTTAAAAAATCGGTACTCAAAAAAAAAAATCTCATACTGAAAATAGAAAGCCAAGGTGTAAGAAGTTTTAAAATTAATAAATAGCATTTTATTTCACATTCTCTGTAATGCTAAATTTAGATTAGTCTATGCTTTTTTGTTACAGGTTATCAAACAGGTTCATGGAAGGAACACTCCACTGAAGATGAAGACATCTACATTCCTTCTGAAAAGCAGAGTAAAGAGAAGCTGGTCTTAGCACTACCCTTAAAGAGATTAATTGGTCATGAAACTACCAGTTGTGATCCTTTGCTACCTAATGATAAATCATTTTAATGCGAACTCTAGAAACCTGTGGAAATGGCTTCACTATGAGAAGGTCAATAGCCTATTTAAATACGAAAAATATTAAATGCTATAAAAATATTTACAGGCAGTAAGTATCTAACGATAGCCACAGAGTATTTTTTAACATAAGAGCTTTACACCTGATTGTTTATTTTTCTCTATACCTTATTAAAATGAAGAATCAATCATATAATCTTGTGAATAAATATAAATCTCATATGCTTTTCAATAGTTTAGAAGGACATTTGGTACAGATTCTAACATTTTTTCCTAGGAACAAGTGCCTTTTGGTTCTAACATTTCAAATTTCTCTCTAGGAGCTAAGAAGTCAGATACCAACTTTGAAAAGAATTGCTTATGAATTTACAAGTTAATTAAAATCAGTGGTTAAAATGTGAATTGCACAAGTTTTTCTACATAAGTAGCATGAATTAAAACTAAAAAAGAAAATTCTAGTTGTTCACAAATGGATCTGTCTACATTGGCAATAATTATTTTCAAATGTTAATTTCAGTATAATGGTTTTCAACTTTTGTAGCACATTAGCCCCATCAGAGGTCCTTTAAAAAATACATTTCTATGCCTGGGTACCACTTTCACAATTTAAGATTTAATTGGCCCAGGGAGGGGCCAGACCATGGGTATTGTGTAAAGTTCCAATGTGCTGCAAAAGATGAAAAACATTGGACAGCTCATCCAAGCAGTCTGAGGTTGTTTTAAAAACTGAATGTTTTGCTTTTCTTGAAATGATACCCTCTTGTGCCACAGGCTGTGCTCATGTCCTCTCACTGAACAATGCAGCTCATTGAAAACCACTAATGCTGTACTTGGATATCTACCATATTGCCAAGTCCTCTATTTCTCCCAGGGCTCTCGCTGTTTTATACTCCGGTAATTTAATTGTCCATCAGTAGGAGCAGAGCCTCGCATAATCTCAGAGCTGTTTTATTAGTTCTAGTCTTTCTGGGTTCCTATCATGAACAGTATCATTGACCTTCTGAGTTATGATGAGAAACACTAACAAAACTAAACAGATGGTAAGTATGGAGTAGCCACGGCCCTCATCTGATTGGGGTTTTGGAACTCTAGGGCAATAACTACAGAAGGTATTACAGTGCAGGATTGTCTATTTAATAAAATGAGGAACAAAAATTGCTGCAATTATCTTATCACAGTGCTACCAAGTGTTGAAGAATGTTAAGTGATGCATTTTTAGTGATCAGTTCAGAGAGCCTATCTACTTTTCTATTTACTAATAAGTAGTAATGAATTTGACTTAAATATATGTATTGAATTTCATCAGATAGCTGGTCCTAATTCCCATAAATATGTGAGAAATGTATTATATAAAATAAATGGCCAAAATAAATTTATATATTTAACCACAAGAATGACTCAGATAAGTTTCACTTAAATGGTTGACAATTAACAAAAATAAAAAAATAAAATTACAATTCCTCAAAAAAAACTCCTGTATTTTCTGAAGACAGGTACTCCTAGAGATACTTTTCTTTAATATTTATAATATCAGTTAGCTCTCTGAAACAGTCTATAGACTATGCCATAAATAATATCTAAAGCCACAGCCAGTCTGATGCAACATCAAAAAAGAGTTCTATTCCAAGTTAGCTGCTCTGTAATGTCCTTAATGAGCTGTTTACATATTCCTGTGTGGACCTTAAGTGTTCCAGTTGCCTGGAAAATTAAAAACCTATATATTGCCTAACCTTATTAATCAATTCAATCAATTTTGGTGAGGAAAATAATCAGCTCAATGGCTGTGAATATTAACTAACCAACAAGTAAGTAGGTGAAGATGAATTAATAAAAGTAAAAGACTGAGCACAGTGCCCAGCACACAATAAGTAGTTGATAAGGTGAGGTGATACAGCTTTGTTGTTGGTTTTTGGTGTTAATCATTCAAACAGAAGTCTTGAGTGTCTTTCCCTTAATTTTAACTCCCCATAGGCAAACCCTCATATTGGATTTCAAAATCATTTGATTTTGAACTATTCCAAATCATTTGATTTGGAACTATTTCAGATTCGAGGTGTAAAAGCCTGAAATCTGCCTCTTTGCACCCAACTTTCTATTTTTTTAATCCTTCTTATTGAAATAGAAAGGTGACTATAGTGGCTAAGAAAGTCACTTCTTAGCCCGCACTGGTGATTACAGTTTCTCAGCTACTTCACATTCTCACATACTGACCCACTTCAGGAATTGTTTCTGTCCTTTCTCCCACCTCCTCTCCAAGACTCTGCCACGTCAGCAAAAAACTAGCTTAGCACCCTAAGTGCTCTGTCCTTCCTTTATCTGACCCAATTCTCTCTGTAAATATCGGTGCCTGGGTAAACATACCCTCACCTCATTCATTTCTGTTCCTAAGACCCAGAGAGTCACTGAAAAAGTAGTAAGATGAGGTCAACTGGTCACATTACTAGCTGTGTTACTGGCTCTGTTTAGTCTACAAACAGCTAACAATCCTTTATCTATGTTAATTTGCTCCCCCGTCTCATATTTTCTAAAATTTTCTAAAATTTTGGACTCTCTCAAGAAACTGAAGATTAAGGCAATGCATAAAATATAAACTCCCTCAGTCATGAACTCTGAACTCCCCAGATCTCTACCCCAAGATACGTATGTATGTTCTCTTGACCTCTTCCTTCCGCTTATCCCAGAGAAATAATACCTCCTTTCCTCATCATGAGCCAGCATCTGCTTTTTTGCCCTCAGCTGGGTCTTTTCTGACTACACTTTTCGGCCACTTGTTCATTGACTATTATGCCTTTGACTTCTAGAATGTCCTCTTGAGCTTACAAAACTGCTCAATTAAGTTCCATACTAAACCCTAAACTGCCTCACTTCACCCTACTACTCATTCAGACTGAGGGCATTTATATATTTATCCCCTCACTGGTAATGTTACTGAAAATATACTTTCTACCCTATTCCCTTTGCTCTTCTTGACCTTCTAACTAGAATCTGGATCCTATTCCCACCTCTGAAAGGGCCCCATTGATTCTGAATGTCAATAGCCTTTCCTTAAGGACTTCTCTGGAAGCATTTAACACAATTCATCAACCTGCCTGTTTGAAATTCTTCCCTCCTACTTCCACTGCATTGTTCTAAGGAGGTTGTTCCTTCTACTAAGTGGACTATTCATGTCATGATTCTTACCCATGCCCGTACCTCTTCCTTTCCCTTGGTGGCTGTCAGATCTTACTCAGTTTTTATTTTATACATATAGGCACTTAATTATCTTATTTTATCCCCAAATGTAGTCCTCCAAACGGTTCCTTACAGCACTTTTCTCTATTCTTCTCTTTACCTGTATAACTGATTCTTCTCATATTTTTAACTGTCCCCTCTATGTCTTCTCACTTGTCCTCTGTGTATTAATGGTGTTTTTCTAATTACTCACCAGATGTTTTCTAGACAAAACTTTTTGACCCTGCTCAGTATGTATAATATAGAACTGAAAATGTGCTACCTTTTCCATATCTGCTTCTCCTTCAGTGTCCTCTGTTTCTTCCTAGAATTTTAATATAAAGTGATGAAATAAACTTTCAGCACCTTTCTTTTTTTGTCTCATTCAATCGTTTCCCAAATACTTCCTAGGTTTTTCCTCCAAAGTATTTTTGGCTCTTATCTGTTCTCTGCTATATGGTCACTATCCAATTTTAATCCTTATTTCTAATTGCTTGTTAATGGAATTCTCTTGCTTCTAGAGCTTTTTGCTTCCAAAATTTACTCTAAACCATAGCCACATTAGTTTCTCTAAATCAAATCTCCTCCAAAAAATGTTAAATGTTTAAATACCTATTTTAAGGAACAAACTCCAGTTTCTTATCCTTATTCACATCCATTTATCATTAAGATTTTCTCTGTAAACTCCCCTTAAATGTTCAAGCCTGCTCTATTCTTATGACAATATAAAGGTTATATATTCCATGCAACCTGCTCTTGATACAAACCCCCTCCTTCCAATCTGTTTGTAGTTTTCCCTTTCTACCTCCTGTATTTCACTGTCCCTGTGTTTGTCAAGGCATTCATCACTTTTTATTGAGTATTATATGTATTTCTATATAATGTATTTCTATATATATATTTTTTACCACCTTTGTATGTATAGCTAATATATTGGTTGAATGATATTACACTATCAATAGATATTTATTGAACAAGTGAAATAAACAAAGAGCATGTATCCCTATGGCCACAAAATAATTTATTTTAAAGTTAAAATTATATGAAATTTTATTTCTAAAATCACAAAGTGAATTCTTAGTTCACATCTGCTAAACTGGACAGTAACAATGATGCCTTCATTAATTCCAGGATTTTCAAGGTCCTTATCATCTCATGGGAGTCTTGAGGATAGAGTTTGCTAGTATTTTAGAATGAAAGGCCTAAAGCTTTTTAGCAATATAGAATAAAGGACTCCAAAAACTAAGCATTTGGCATGGAAAAAATGCTGTTTTTTTCACCAGAAGTTGGTGAATTTATTCGATCTTTCAGTAATACTAAACTACAATGACAGTTTTTCACCAATAAGACATTATCTCCTGTGTTTCACTCT